AGGCAGCCAAATATATTCTTACAAATCATAGCAATGCTTTGGAAGAATATTTGTGCTTATCTTTTGTAAGAGTTTCTTTTCTTTCAACAGATAACTGGCCTGGGGGTCAAAGGACTCGCCCCCCACCCCTACGCAGGCTGAGGGACAGGTCTCTCCTGCTGCAGGATGCTTTGAAGACAACTGGGGAATTCTGGAGCTGAAATTTCAGTCTAGTTAGAAAAATGAGGCAATGATATTATTAATTGGTTTAATTTTAATATATAATTTTGGGGTGCTAGAGATTAAACCCAGAGTCTACCACATGCTAAGCATTTGCTGTACCACAGAACTACAATCCTAGCCTCATTTATATTTTTTCAAAGACAGCATTTTTAACAGGATGACAGGTGGTTTTGATAATACACTATAAGGCCTCCTGTAAAAGGTCTGTAGAGCCAGATGTGGTAGCGCAGGAGGATTGTGGTGAGTTCGAGGCCAGCCTGGGCTACATAGTGAGTTCAAGGCCAGCCTGAACTGCGTAGCGAGACCCTGTCTCAAAAAGACAAAAACAAAAAAATGAAAAGGTCTGTGAAAGAGCAAAGGGTTGTTCAACTATCTCCTGGCCTCTTGATTCTTTGAAAATTGCTCAGAGGGGTTGGAATATGACCATATCTGTTCTTTATTCCACATTCCATATGTAATATATACCTAAACCTTCAAAAAACTAATCAATAGGTACTTAGTAATAAATTATTACAACTATGTTCCCTTTTGTTTTCACTTTAATCTCCTAAAATATACCATATGCTAATATATCTTGTTATTACTCTTTTTGTTGTTCTTATTATTTTTTTTACCTTTTATTACTCTTCCTGTATGTTATTTTACACGCTAAACTACTGCTGAAGAAGATGCACTCTGGTAAAATCCATGGTTCCAACTGCCATCTACTGGATATAAAAGTAATAGATCACTTTGGAAAGATTTTTTTAAAGTAGCTTTTGAGTTATAATTAGTTTGCACATATTTACAGTATACAATTTAGCCAGGCGTGGTGGCGCACACCTGTAATCCCAGCACTCGGGAGGTTGAGGCAGGAGGATCATTGCGAGTTCAAGGCCAACCTGGGCTACAAAGTGAACTCAAGGCCAGCCTGAACTTCATAGCAAGACCCTGTCTCAAAAAGATAAAAAAAAAAAGAAAAAAGTATACAACTTGACAAATTTATCTAATGTATATACATTAATGATACCAGCACCATAAACAAGATAATGAATCTGTCTATTACTGTTCTAGTTACTTCTTTTATTGCTGAGAATTTCAGCTCACAGTGGTAGAGATTTCAGCCCATAATCGGCTGGCTGCAAGGCAGGGTGGCGTGGCAGAGGGGCATCACAGAACAGAAACAGTCCATGGTAAAGCAGGCAGGCAGAAGAGAGCAAAGCAAAGAAGTAGCAGCAGCAGCAGCCAAACCTGCCTTTATATTTCATCCAGGCTACCTGCCCTTTGAACGGTGCCACCCACACCCAGGTGGGGCAGGCTTAATCCCAGCATCGCACACCCTAGGTCCAGCCACCTCAGAAAAGCCGCCCCCCTCCCCATGACCCCATGAGGCTTGGCAGGGGACATCTAGATATAATCCATAACAAGTACCCACAAAACCCTCCTTATGTCCCACTGTAATCTTTTCCTTTGGCCACTCTGAATGCCTGTTTGGCTTTCTGTTACTATAAAATAGCCTCAAAATTGGGTAGTGTAATTTCTCCAATTTTGTTTCTTTCAAAATTATTTAGCTATTCTTTTGGCGTTCAGTTTTATTTTATGTATTTTATTTCACTTTATTATTTTATTTTATTTTTTGGTGCTGGGTATTAAACCCAGAGCCTTGTAATGTTAAACATATACCACTGTGCTACAAATTAGCCCCATTATAAATTTTATTTTTATTTCTGTACTTACTTAGTTCTTTTTTTCAGTACTGTATTGACAATTGAACCCAGCTCAGAGACTGACTTCACACTGAGCTACATCCACAGACTTTTTTTATTTTTCATTTAGAGATAAGGTCTCACTAATTGCCCAGGCTGGGCTCAGACTTGTAATCCTCTTGTCTCAGCCTCCCTGAGGACTAAAATTACAGGTGTGTGCTACCACTCCTGGTTCCTATTATAAATTTTAGGATCAGCTTGTTTATATCTATGAAAAATGCTACTACAATGTTAACTGAAATTTCTTTAAATTGGTGGAAGCATTTGAAGGAATTTACTACTTTGAGTCTTTTAATCCAACGTGGCATGTCTCTCTAATTATTTAAGTCTTCTGCTATTTCTTTCAAGAGCATTTCATACATTTGAGTATACAGATCTTGTACATGCATTGTTAGATTTATATCCAGGAATTTTGCTTTTAGAGTTATTATAATTTTTAAACTTTTCTCCAATTGATAACTGCTTATCTATAGAAGTATGACTGGCATTTGTATCTATTAACTTGGTTAAACTCATTTATTCTCATAGTATTTCTGTAGCTTCTTTGAGATTCTTTTGATATATAATTATATTTCCTGTGAGCAAAGAGTTTTGTTTCTTTCTTTCTAATCTGTATGTTTTTATTTCTTCTTGCATTGCTGTACTGGATAAGACTGCCAGTACTATATTGACTTGGTGGAATATGAGTGGATATCTTTATATTGGTCCCAAGCTTAATGGAAAAGCATACAACCTTTATCATTAAGTGTTAGCTATATGCCCCTTCTCAGGTCAAGGAACTTCAAGTCTTGTTTGCTGAGAGGTTTTCTTATTACTTTTTTGTGATGCTGGGGAAAGACACGGAGATCCTCGCATATACTAGGCAAGTGCTCTACCATTGTGCTACCTCCCCAGCCCTCCATCCTCTTTCTTTTAAACTATCTGTATTATTAGATTTGCAGTGAGTGAGTGTTTGTGTGTGACTGGGGTGACTGGGGGTTGAACCCAGGACTTTCACACTGAGCTACATCCCTAGCCCCTTTTTTTAAATTTTGAGACAGGGTCTCACTAAATTGCCCAGGCTGGGCTCCAGCTTGAAACCCTCCTGCCTCACTTTCCAAGTGCTGGGCTCAGAGGTGTTCCCTACCACTCTTGGCTGCTCAGTTTCTTGAATCTGTAGGTCTTTGTCTAATTTGGGAAGTTGGGGGCCCTTATTTCTTCAGATATCTTTTTCTGTCCCACACTCCTCTCTTCCTGATAATTTGAATATTAGAAGGTGTACCACAGGTTCCTGAAGTTGTTCAGTTTTTTCAACCTTTTTTCTCTGCTGTTCTGATTGAATAATTTTCATTGCTCTATCTCCAAGTTCACTGGATTTTTCCTCTATCCCGACGTCTGTATGATCGCATTGTTGGCCCTTGTTGGTTGTCTTTTCCTATTTGAATCAAACATTTCATTGTTCTCTGTATACTAATTGTGGATTGTGTCCTGAACATAGTATTTTGGATATCATGTTACGAGACTCTGGGTCTAAATCCTGTTGAAAAATGTGGTGTATTTGTTTCAGCAGGCAATCTGCAAGGTTAGGTTCAGGCCAAGAGTTCCGCTCTGTCTTCTGTGGATGTGGTTTCCATGCCAATTCCGTTTTCACAGGCTTTGCACTGTTACTCAGGTCTGTCCCATGTGTGCTGCACAGGGGTCAGTCTGGGACTTGAACAGAGGCCTGGCATTAGCTCTGTTCTCAACTTGGGGCTGTTAATCAGGATTCAGTCCATGTATGATGAGCAGGTCAGAAGCCAGGAAAAGTTATAGAGTTATAAACACTCCTTAAAATTGTTTATAAATGTCTGCGTCAACCCCAACCTCAAAGGGCTTTTCATGGGGACTCTCCAGGGAACATGGTGGGCCTGAAGTCCCAGGGGGGCCTGCTTCTCATCCCCAACACTCACTGCAGTCTACAAGTTGTCCGGTCTCTACTTGGTTCCTTCCTGTTCTGTTTCTCTATTAAGGGAGGGCAAAGAGCAACAGGGCTGGCACAGGGAGTCTCCTAAGGCTCCAAAGAGGGCACAGAGTTCTTTATTGTGACCCTCAGGAGACCAGCCATGATCTGAAGCCTAAAATGGGGCCCTAGTACATCTGGCTTACGTCCTTAACCTAGTCATTTCCTGCCTGTTCTCAGGGCAGGCAGGTAGGAGACGAGTGGACTGGCTGAGGAGCTCCAGGGGCTATGATGGAGGGTTCTGAAAAGAAGATCTGACCAAATGTTCAAGAAAAGCCTCCGGTGTAGCTCTAATACCCTCTCCACCCCTGGATCTGAGAACCCACCCTGGTGGAACATGAGCTCTGGCTCCTTTCTCCAGCAGTAGAAGGCTCCCCCGTGCCAAACGTGAAATCCCCTACACTCCACGAGTCTTTTCTGGTCAGTTGCCTAAGTGACCACCTCGTCAATCAGACTTCTTAAAAGGTCATCTAGTTGACAATGAATCAAGACATCTGGTCAACCTACAAACTCAGACCTAAGGTCAGTGCCCAAATCAGAACAGTTGGTCAGACACACAAAGACCATCTGGTCCACCTACCTTGCCAAAAGGCAATCTGCCAGGGTCTTGGAGAGTCCCTGAACAATCTTGGTAGGCATGCCAAGAATGCAAGGCCTTGAGCGCTCTTTACACAGGCAGCTTCTCAGCCAGCTCCCTCAAGAAATGAGATGACCCGACATCTTCCAGATGAAAAGCAGGCTTGTAACATGCATTAGAAAAGCACCAAATTCCACACACTCTGTGTTCCTCACTATGTGTGCAGACATGCATCCAAGCCCCCCTGCATCACCCTCCTGAGATCTGGGGGCACGGAAACCAGCACAAACATCATGCTGATGCTCTGGCCATTACTTTCCCTCTGAATAGTGAAGTTCTTCATCTCTGACCAAGGCATCTCATGTCTTCCACATGCATTCATGAAACAGGAAAGCTTTTTATCTTACAAGCAGGGTAAAACCTCAAACTCCTTATTGTTCTGGACATTGACCCTCCTGCATCAGACACTGAGTCCAAGGTCCTCAGCCCAGACATTAACACCAGACTCCTCATACTAGGCTCCCAAGCCCTGCCTTTCCCCTGACCCATATCAACTTCCAGCTTAGGCTGCCAATGATCTCTTCCCCAGTTCCACCATCAGAGGCTAATGCTACACTATTAGCTCCAGAGCCCAAGACCCACCTCTTGCTTGAAAGACTAAGTTCTAGCCTCTTCCTTCAGAGTCTGGGTCTTCATTGCTCTTCTCAGAAAGCAAGTTGGGACTTCTGCCTCCAGCACATAAATCCCAATTTTGCCACCAGCACTACCCCACACCACCTCAATTCCTCCTCTAGAGGTCTAATCTCCATACCCCGCCCGATGCTAATTTCTGATTTCAGCCCCAAAGTCTAGCCTCTTCCTCTTAGTCATGAGATGAAGTCTCACTTCTCGGCAGAGGCTAAGTCTCAATTTGCACAAGCAGTCACTGGAGCTGTCTAACCACAGCCTGAGTGTTCATGACCCCATTTCTCATGCAGGGAAGAAAAGAAAGGGGTGGGACTGGCAGAGGTGGCCATGGAAACTTCCAGAGGATGCAGAGTCTTTTAAAAACAGACCCTTTGGGAAGCAAGAACAATAAGAGGCCCTGAGCCAGGCAGGCCCTCCGCCCTCTGAGGCTGGCTGGCCTTTAGATAATCACTGAGGCACCTGCTGGCCCCAGTTCTTGGGGAGAGGAGTTTGGAGAGAAGTGAGACTGACACAAGAGAACCCCAGGGGCCACTGGGGAGTGGATGTGAACCATACCTCCTGACCAAATGTACCAGCACATGCTTCCCTA